TGTCTGTCTTTATTGAGGCATATATTGAGGAAATGGTTAACATTTACGGCAATTCTTATGCTAACAATGAAATCAATTCAATCGATAGCATAATACGTGAGGCGAAAGTGTTTTCGTTATTACATTTGATTACAGACATTATGTATTGCATCGAAAAAACAACTGACTCTGGTGAATCGCTAAATTTAATGGTATGTTAATTATACATTTTCTTTTAATTATAATTTTATTTATAATTTCCTGTTTTATATTCAATTGACAGTCAACGGCAGAGATAGGGTTCAACTGTTATCGTAAACTCAAGAATCGTGTTCTACAAGAATATTCTCATCTAAACTAAAACATTGTTCTCTAAATGTCCTTAAAATATGAAAAAATCATTTCTTTCTAAAATGTTGTAGAAATTAGTTTAAAATACTTTTTTTGTGTTATAATCTTAATTTTAGTTCACATTTTGATAAAAAATTTTCTAACTTTCATTTTTTATATGTCATATATCCTTGATAAGCATTAATTGATTATTTAATTATCTCTAATTTTATTTATTAATAAATTGAATAGTGCTGCTAAATATTTTTAGTTTTCATTATATGTGAATTTATTAAATTAATTGAATGTACTGTTAATCAATATAAAGTATTAAAAGTAATTCAAATTAAATTAATTACTACCGTAATTTGTTTTGGTAATTACTTTACATTCATAAAAGTTTCATTTGAGTAAATTGTGCCATATTTTAAATATTTTATAAATAAAAGTACAAATCTGTTTAATATTAATAATGAAATAGGTTAGGATGTTATAATGCTATCAATGTGAATTTATTTTATAAACAATAATCTGTTAAATCTCATATTCTTAATTAGCAAATAAACTAAATATTAATTATTTTTCAATTATTCTTATGAATTATTTGATTTGTTAGGAAACATAACTTGTGTTTTGAATCTAATAACTTATAATACAAAACATGGATAACTCGGTGTCGGCTGAGGATCGGCTAAAAGTACACGAGTTGTGTAAATCATATTTAGGCGGCAAATGGGCTGAAGTTAGTGCCGATCAACTCATTATCAAATCAGTCACGTAACAGATAATCATATTTTATTTAACCCATTTTATTATATTTAATTTGTTTTCATTTAGTGGTGGATTTGTGAATAAATTATTATTTGGATTTTTACCCGAAAACATTGAATCCCAATATTGTAAGGTTGTGGTCAGGTTTCAGGACGCACTCGAGGAATATTGTAATACCACTCATGTATTGGTCGTTGCATTGATAGTATCCTCGAAGGGATTATCACCGAAAATACTCAGTGTTTTTGATAAGGGAGTCATCACTGAATATATTGACGTATAAAACAAATTGACGAATTTAATTAATTAGTTTTATTAATATGTCTAAAAATTTCAATTATCATAAAAAGTGTCGATATTTCAATGCCGACGATGACCTAAACCCCAAAGCTGTCAAACTGTTGGCCCAAAAGTTGGCAAAATTTCATACACTAGACGTACCGATCCCTAAAGACAACACTAAAAATACAATGAAAATGTTGTTCGAGGAGTGGTTAGGGCCCGAAGACATACTGTCCTTCAAAGAAGGGGTTGTCTATGAAGAGATACAAAAGCAAAAACTGCAGGCATTTGTGGAAATGGATTTGTTGGCTGAGATGGCATGGCTCAGGCAAGTGGTGGTCGACCTCAACAGTCCGGTAGTCTTCTCGCACAACGACCTCAACCGTAGGAATATTCTGGTCGTCAAAGGAGACGAGAATAATAACCAGAATCTAGATTTATATCTCATTGATTTCGATTGGAGTAACTATATGTATAGGGGCGCAGACCTTGGTGACTATTTTGCCAATTGGTGTCAACAGGAACTGGACTTCGGTGGCAATGACTTTCCCGATGACCAACAATTGTTGCCCTTTATTGACGCCTATATCACGGAAATGAGTTTACTTTGCGACGATTCTTATGCTAAACATGAAATCAATTCACGCGAAACACTCCTCAAAGAGTCCAAAGTATTTGGTTTAATGATGTATATCAAGGAAATTATTTTCTGTGTTTGGGAGTCCTCTAAAAGAGGGAGGTTTGAGCTCTTGGTATAAATTATTTGCATTTGTTCATATTTTAAATTATTAATATAAATAACATTTTGTTTACAGCAAAAGGCGAATCAACGGTTTAAAGTTTACAAGAATCTAAAGATTCGAGTTGTTAAGGAATATTCTGACATAAAATAAATATTTATTAAACATCCATGCTGACTTGCTGTTGTGGTTGGATGCTTTTGAATATTTTTTAATTACTTATGGTGAAAACACTTTTTGAAATAAAAATAAAAAACAATTCATTTTTACATAAAAACAATATAAAAATAATAGAATTGCTAATTAAATAAACGAATTTAATCGCAGAGGTAAACCCAATAGCCTTTGCCGGACAGGGCTCAGCCAACAGCAGATCCTCCGGTCCCGCATGAGTGGGAAATCACACGAAAACATCTTATAATTTATATCATTATTTGTAGCATTAATTCAATAAAGAGAGAAATAAATGCTCTTAAGTTATACATGAAGTCAAATTATGTTTACATAAAAAATCAGTTATGAGAAATTTAGCATGGGCTTAAAATTTGAATTTATAGTGAACTCTTTGTAATTAAGTATTCGTGGAAAAATTTGTTTTCAAAATTTTCAAGTGAATGAATAGTAGTGTTGAATTCGTTTAATAAATCATTGTCATCCTTATTAATCTTCCAGATAGAAATTTGTGGCAATATCTCAGCACTGGTTGGTCTTTCATGAGGAAATTGTTTGATCATTAGGGTTAGGGTCTCAATAAGTTTACGGAACTGTGGGTCTGGTATTAAAATTTTCTTGCTTTCGAATACATCTTTTGAACTAATAATACAATTTTATTATAGTTTAAATTTATTAGAATCTATTAGCATCTATTATAGAAAATACGGATATAAGATTACTTACGAAAAAAAATTAATGTAAAACATTTCACACGCTATCAAACCGAAGCTATATATATCACATTTCATGTCGTATTCATTACTGTGTTTAACCTCCGGAGCCATATATTTATCAGTGCCGACGCCTTTTGAGTGAGACTGTGAGTCGTGTGAATGAAATACAGATAATCCAAAATCAGATATCTTCACAAAACATCCATTTATATTTTGCTCAACGACAAGAATATTCTCGGGCTTCAAATCCCTGTGAATTATTGGCGGATCCAATGAATGCAAATATAATAATCCATTGTTTATCTCAATAAACATTTCACATAATAAATAGAATTCTGTGAAACCGATGGGAGTGTCGGATGAATGCCTATTAAATGCATTGTTTCTGATCTGTAGAATATTCTTCAAGTTATTGTCACAGAATTCCATCTGAATGTAAATAAACTTGTCTTCAAACCAGGCACTAATATATCTGACAACAGAATCATTGGCTAATTTGATTGCATCGAATTCTTGGAAGCCTTGGTAACGAATTAATTCCTCTACAATATCAAGATAAATATGATAAAATTTGGAAATACTGTAAGTTTCGTAATAAATAGAGTAGCAACAAAAGCGACTCATTTTCTCATTGTTAATTGAGACAAATATTAATATCATTGAGACCTTTAGTTTTCGTTTTTCATTAAAAAATAGCCTAACCATTTGTATCTAAATTAGTGATGAATTTGACTAAAAAATTGTTTTTGAAAATAAAACCCAAGTCTAATAAAATCATAAAGGTGATAAAAATTTTAAAATCATTTAAAAATACGGAATCTTTTGAATCTAATTTATAATATGTTATATATTCTGAACTTAAAACATGTTTTAATGAGAATCTCACTTTAATGTTTATTGTCATTCCAGAACTAGCTCAATAATTGTTCCCTTTATTGCTACTCTAGTAATAAATAAATGAATATTTACTTTCTGTTGATATTTGTTTAATGGCACAGATTGTATTATCATGTTTATCTACAACTTTATATACGTGTCCAAAAGCACCGGAATTTATTTCCCCTGTCATTTCAAATGAATTTTCAAATCTGCCTTCACTTTCATAAATTGATGTCACTTTTTCATTTTGTGTACATATTTTTTGTAAGGGTTTATATGTAAACTGTAAATACTTGTAGAAAAACTTGTTGTCAAAGTTTTGAAGTGAACCAATATTAGTGGTGATATCATTTAGTAAAGACAGGTCATCTTTATTAATACGCCAATTCGCAATATGTTGCGAAATTTCAACACTCGTTGGCCTTTCATAAGGAAATTGTTTGATCATTGAGTACATTGTATTAACCAACTGTTGGAACTTTGAATCTGGTATTGAGATTATTTTTCTCTTCAAAATATCAAAACTGAAAATAATTATTTCTAATTAACCTATTTTAACAGAAATATTTAAAAATTTACTTACGAAAGGAGATCAATGCAAAACATTTCACACGCTATCAATCCGAAGCTATATATATCACATTTCATGTCATATTCATTACCGAGTTTAACCTCCGGAGCCATATATTTATCAGTGCCGACGCCTTTTGAGTGAGACTGTGAGTCGTGTGAATGAAATACAGATAATCCAAAATTAGATATCTTCACAAAACATCCATTTATATTGTGCTCAACGACAAGAATATTCTCGGGCTTCAAATCCCTGTGAATTATTGGCGGATCCAATGAATGCAAATAAAGTAATCCTTTGTTTATCTCAATAAACATTTCACATAATAAATAGAATTCTGTGAAACCAATGGGAGTGTCGGATGAATGCCTATTAAATGCATTGTTTCTGATCTGTAGAATATTCTTCAAGTTATTGTCACAGAATTCCATCTGATTGTAAATAAACTTGTCTTCAAACCAGGCACTAATATATCTGACAACAGAATCACTGGCTAATTTATTGATTGCATCGAATTCTTGGAAGCCTTGGTAACAAATTAATTCCTCTAAAATATCAAGATAAATATGACAAAATTTGGAAATACTGTAAGTTTCGTAATAAATAGAGTAGCAACAAAAGCGACTCATTGTCTCATTGTTAATTGAGACAAATATTAATATCATTGAGACCTTTAGTTTTCGTTTTTCATTAAAAAATAGCCTAACCATTTGTATCTAAATTAGTGATGAATTTAAGTAAAAAATTATTGTTTTTGCAAATAAAACCCAAGTCTAATAAAATCATAAAGGTGAAAAATTTTTAAATCTTAAAAATACGGAATCTTTTGAATCTAATTTATAATATAAATTATATATTCTAAACTTAAAACATGTTTTAATGAGAATCTCGCTTTAATGTTTATTGTCATTCCAGAACTAGCTCAATAATTGTTCCCTTTATTGCTACTCTAGTAATAAATAAATGAATATTTACTTTTAATTGGTATTTGTTTAATGGCATAGATTGTATTATCATGTTTATCTACAACTTTATATACGTGTCCAAAAGCACCGGAATTTATTTCCCCTTTCATTTCAAATGAATTTTCAAATCTGCCTTCAATTGCATAAATTGATGTCACGTTTTCCTTAAATTTTTTTTGTAAGGGTTTTAAGGTAAACTGTAAATACTTGTGGAAAAATTTGTTTTCAAAATTTTCAAGTGAATGAATAGTAGCGTTGAAGTCGTTTAGTAAATCCAAGTCATCCTTATTGATCCTCCAGTTTGAAATTTGTGTCAAAATCTGAGCACTCGTAGGCCTATCCTTACGAAATTGTTTGATCATTGAGGACAAGGTATTAACCAACTGTAGGAACTGTGGGTCTGGAATTGAGATTGGATTTCTCTGGAAAACGTCTGAACTGAATTAATGATAACAATTATTATTTGTAGTTTACTATTACTATTAAATTGTTTATAAATTACTTACGAATAGAAATTAATACGAAACATCTCACAGGCTATCAATCCGAAGCTAAAAACATCACATTTCATGTCATAATCATTGCTGAACTTAACCTCCGGTGCCATAAATTTCTCAGTGCCGACGTCTCTCGAGTGAGACTGAGAGTCGGGTGAATGAAATACAGATAAACCAAACTCAGATATTTTCACAAAATATCCATTTTTATTGTGCTCAACCACTAGAATATTCTCGGGCTTCAAATTCCTGTGAATTATTGGCGGATCCAATGAATGCAAATAAAGTAATCCATTGTTTATCTCAATAAACATTTCGCATAATAAGTAGAATTCGGTGAAACCAATGGGAGTGTCCGATGAATGCCTATTAAATGCATTGTTTCTGATCTGTAGAATATTCTTCAAGTTATTGTCACAGAATTGCATCTGAATGTAAACAAACTGGTTGTCCTCAATCCAGGCCCTCTTATATCGGACAATTGAATTACTCTCGAGTTTTGTCATTGTCTGGATTTCTTGAAAGCCTTGATAACGAACCGATTCCTCTAAAATATTTCAAAATTGTTGAAATAAGTGATAAAAATAGGAAATAAGTTATGAGATAAGCAATCACAAACAATTGAATAAACACTTATAATATTATGAGTTATAAAATGGTACTTACTGTCAACTGCAATTTGTTTAATGGCATAGATTTTATTATCAGTTTTATCCAACACTTTAAAGACATGTCCAAAAACGCCCGAACTTATTTTCCCTTTTATTTCAAATGAATGTTCAAATCTGCCTTCAAATGCATAAATCGATTTTGTTTTCTTCTCCAATATTTTTTGGTTAATAGCCTGGTTGTTCCATAACTTCATAAAACTTTTAAACACTTGCGATGAGTATTTGCTTTTATCTTCAGGCTTAACATACAACTCAATTGTGGAAACAAATCCATCGCTTTCTAAATGAATGGCTTTATATGTAATCTGTTCTCCCTTCAGATATTCAAAGAAGTTCCCGAATTTGGTTTTAAACCATTTATTCTTATAGAATTCATAAATGAAGTCACTCTCCACACACACCTCCAGGGGATTGGCTTCAAAACTACAGCAATAGATGTCATTAACTCTGGATATATTAAAAATACGAGCCTTTGAATAGAATTCGTAATCTGTTGTATTGATTGCACCACAAAAGTGCACGAATTGGTCGGCCGTCAGGAAATAGGTATTTAATTTATTACTACAGACTTTTATGACATTTCTGAGGCCATTAATAAGTCTGGGGACACAAGAGCTAGTAGTGTTCTCATTGCCTAATATACCGAACTCATTGCGGCCCCAACTGTATACCTGTCCATCAATGGTGATCGCAAAGGAAGTCTCATATCCAGCCAATACATATCTGATTTTATTCTTGATGCCATATTTTGATCCCACTTTTATTGGTGTAGAGATATGATCAGTGAATTTGCCGACACCTATCTGACCTGAGCCATTGTCACCCCATCCGTACACCTTTCCACCTGATGTGAGGGCCAGTGCATGATTTTTGCCACAACTTATTTGTACGATCTCTTCGTGTTCATCAAAATCTATTTCCATCGGCTTAAGGACAACTCCATAACTGGTATCACCCCGGCCTAACTGACCTTTATTGTTATGACCCCATCCCAGTAGCCCTCCCTCAGTCGTCTGAGCGAACACGAAATCATAGCCTACACTGAATTCACAAATACCTTTAAAAGACAATTCTTCGATAAATTGGGGTTCATTGACGGCACAGGTATGTCCTAATCCCAAAAAACCACAACTATTGGCACCCAATGCGTACGCTTTGTCTTCTTTGGTAATGAATATAATATTGTTATCAAACTCTTTGTCGTTGTGATCAAAATCAGCAAAAATAATAAACAGTTTTATTTTGCACTTCAATGGTTTGGGAATATATTTACAAATTTTATAGTCATTTAAAACAACAGAAACTTTTGCCTTATTTCTGAACATATTGACGCACAGGTATTAAAATGAAATATATTAATTATTTTTATTAAATGGTAAACCAGGTCAACTAAAATTGATTTTATAAAGTTTTATATTATTAAAAAATTTAAGTATTCTTTAATATCAAAATATTAACAAATCAAGATTTTTAATATTCATATTCATACAGATTTTTAACTAAATATTTATTTTAAAACTATAATTTACCCTAAAAATTAACCATTAAAACGGATCAATTGTTAATAAATTATATTCGTAAATACCTTTTTAATAAAATCATAATTATAAAGTTGCTATAGCATATAAGATAAAAAGTACTTGAAATGCCACAATATTGCAATTGAAAACTATTTTATCTTATATTGTATAACTTATTTGATTAATAAAATGATAAAATAAATATAACGGGTAACCCATTTGATGCGAACTACTTTTAGTTTAAATTAAATATATTTACAATTATATTATGGTAACAACAATTATACTTAACCGTTGGAAATTTATTAATATTTTATGTACGATTTATAAAGATTGTAACTCTCTAAAGATTGTGTTTACACCTATTATTAAATGTTTCTTTTTACTGAAAATGACTAATGATTTTATAAATATTATAATGACAGTGATATTCATAATTAAACAATCTGGTAATACTACTCTATATAATAATCATTGTTTTTCTAAAACTTTCAATAAAAATAAAATGATTTCACTATCCTATGTAAGATTTTGTTTGTAACACTATTAGATTATGGATGTTTATATATATCGTATAAATTATATGAAATCACTATTACTTTTATTTTTAAAATTTTTTATTTAAATTATACAATCCAAAAATATTGAAATAAATAATTCATTTTAAATAGGATTGCCATTTATTGGATGTGAATGTGAATGGAAACTATTCAGAGATATCACTAATGAATCAAAAAGTCTTAAAATCTTTGAATACAATGAATATCTCATTAGTAAAGGCTGTCAACCGTTAAATGAGAAATCGTTTTGGTTTATGAATGAATAGAAATATCTGAATATCTATGGCTACCCATTAGAGTTGGATTACCTGGATGTCAGACCATTGCCAATAAAGTGGTGTCGATTTGACAATCTGAAGAGAACAGAAGAACATCAGCCGTTTGAGATACCGGTGGCGTTGAGGGACAGACCGGGAAAACTCATATACTTCTCGTTGGGATCGATGGGTGCGGCGGACGTGAAGAATATGAAGAGATTAGTGACTATTTTGTCGAAATCTAAGCACAGATTCATTGTATCGAA